GTGTGATTTGCTCATCTATGTGACTAATCTCATGAAAAACCTTCATTTGTATTGACTTTAAAAAATACATAGTTAATATACATAGACACGTTTTTGCAAATCGAATGTTGTACTAAAAAACAAACCGACATTGCAAATATTTATTTGACCATTTTTTTTACTGCTTACTGACAAATCTTAATCCCACCACAACAGCAAAGTAGAGAGAATAAAATGTGTTAGCTGTAATAATAAATTTTAACCTTTTAGTTCTTATTCACTGAGCGATTGTTACTAGTTATTGACAAAACCGCTCTGGAATATCGAGAGGATAATCTATGGCCGACAGAGCACATAAGTAAAAAAATGAACAAACAAAAATTGTTGTTCCAACACAGAACAATTATCTTTATTTGTTGAACAACACATTAAGGTCAAAAGATGTGAAGAACCATTGAAATTTAAGTTGAAACAAATGATTTTGACTTATGTGCTTTAGTCTGCCGGCCCTAGAATAAACGCTGTAAGAAACGTATAACTAGTAGAGATTATAGTAGGCAGAGTGAATGTGCTTAAACTTCAAGTAATAAACATAGAGTGATTAACACCTCCCTCTAGAAACCTTGAATAATGTTTAAAAAAGTTACATCTTTACTTACATTGGACGTAGTTAAGCAAAAAGGATCCTATCCACAAAATTATCGAAAAATGAGTTACCAAATGGTTCCTAAAGTCTAAACTCTTAGATCAGCGAAAAAAATCCAACATATATAAACACAAATAGATATCTCTGGAGTTACATGACATTATAAGTTTTGTAAATAAAACAAGAGTGATAAACACTTTTAAACTTCAAACTGCCATATCTCGAAAGTGACTGTATATGCATTGGATCCTTTTTGTTCAACTACGTCCGATTACAAAACTTTCCTTCTGAATTCACTACCGTAGAAAATTACTTGTTATAATACAAAGTATACAATTATAATACAAAGTTACAATACAATAATTCCGAGATTTCAAAAAGAGGTATTATCAGTTGATAATCATGTCTCGGTCATGCTCGTCGCACTGTTAGGCCGTTCCCATTATGTCGTGACGGCAGGTAGTCGTGCAGTTTAAAATTTAGTGGCTTGTTTATACAAGCCTTTAAATACGAATAACTTTTTGTGAATAACTTTTATTTAAATATTTAAATAAAAGTTATACACATATAGTAAAACACGATTAACTGTCGTTTACGACTTTTTTGACGTTACGACGACATATTGTCGTGACAATATCTAGTGGGAACAGCTAGACATGGCAGTCGCTCAACGATAAAATAAACGTCCACAACAATGTCACGGGGAACATAATGGGAACGCGCCCTTACGCGGACGTCCGCGACAGACGACGGTAAAATGTGAGCCATCCATTACTTTGTCCACTTGTCCGCTCGCAGACAGTCCACGTTGCACTGTTAAAGACCTATGTATGTAACTTCCTTGAAGTTTGGTTAAATATGCTCAGTATTCCAATCTTAGTGCTAATCGTTGTAACTTTTTTGTTTTATTTAATAAACAAGTTACTATTTCGTTACCCTTATCTTTGTCTATTACAGCGAGGAGAACATCCCAGAACAGCTAAACAAGTCTGACAACTGGGCTGAAACATCCTTCAGTCGGGAAGTCATGAATGTGAGTAAAGCGCCTACTAAAGTAGTATTAGCAATGATACTTGCAGTATTCAAAACTCATTTATTGTATGTACACCCATAACACCAGACACAAATAAATAATGTGATGATTTCTGTGGATCAACCGTCAGCAGTGTCGGCGGTGGATGAGGAGGTCCCGGGTTGAATTCCCGGTAGATCCAATTTGGGAAATGAACTTTCTAAATTAGATCTGGATGTTCTGGGAAGTACCTCAGAGTGAATTCCATAGCTCTGGTACCTACTCTTACAGAAAAATCCCTTGTTTGAGACCAGGTTATTAGATATAATTATCTCGCACATTACTGTTTATTATTAAATACGCAGAAAATAAAAGTGGTGGAAGATTCAAAAGTAGAAAGTTTCATGGAGTGCCGCGCCCCATGGCGTCGTGGAACCTTTCCTTTTTAGATTGCTGAATTTATTCTTTGGCACAAGTAGTTACCGGCCTTCTGGAGGCTTCTACGCCGCGATCGTATAATATGTGTAAAACCCTAAAAAATCGCAAAAGGTCTCATCAAAACTTGATTTTAAACACTAGAAATATGTTTTTATTTCACATTTTAAGGTCCGTATTCCAGAACTCTACTCAATGCTTTCAAAACTTTCAAATTTGAACATTTTTATTTTTTAAAGAATTTCAGTCCAGGGGGTCTAATCCCGGTCTCCGTCTGACATCCGACCGAAACAATTACTGTCAAATAAGTAATTCTATTATATTTCCTTAATGGCGGCCACTAGGCTTGGGCCAGTGTCAGTTTCGATTAATGTTGTCGGTTAATATTGTTCAATAACGCCAACGTTTCGGTAGCAACAAGGTATTTATTTTTAGATGAATCTCTTCGACGGCATGCTGTTGTGGAGATCATACCTGGGGTAAAAAAAAATCATGCACAAACAACGGACTAAAGCATTATATTATTAGAGCATATAAAATCACACAAAATGTTAATAAAGGGAGAAAAAAAGGAGGGATTTAAGGTTAATAGGACGAAGAATGAAGGAAGGTAGGAGGTCATACAAGGAGGAAGTCAATTTAGGACATTAAAAATAAATGTGATCAAGGGCACCCTCGTCCAGACCACATTCACACAAAGAGTTGTCTCTGATACGGATTTCATTGAGGAACACAGGGGAAGAAGAGTGGCCCAGTCTCAACTGATCACACCAAAAGACAATGTCAAGTATGAAGCTTCATTCGCATCATGAGTTTTTTTCGAGTATTACTTATTTGACAGTCATTATTTCCGACGAATGTCGAACAGAGAACGTGTGCAGACCCACTGTTTTCACCATCAATTTATTTTGACTTTTATTTAAAAAACTCCATTCAATTTCCGATACCTTGTCAAAGGGTAACCAGTCTTTTAACCGGCTAAAAAGTCGCTGAAAAACAAATACAAAGATACGACGCAAGCACATAGAAAAATTCGTGAGGTCCGCCGCTGGTTCGTTCCGTGGCTTAGTAGGATAGCGTCACAAACTAGTGTAACTTCACATAAAAATAATTGAATATCAATTCAATAAAAATTTAAAGGGTAACCAGTTAACTGCAAAAATACATTATAATTTTATTTATAGGTGGTAAAACGAAACAACACGAGTTACAAAAAAGCAGTCCGCGAGAGCGACTCCGACGAGAGCGGGAGCAACAGTGACTTGGATGATATGCTTGATGAAGCGCTTGAAGCGGAGAGCGAGGGGCCCACGCCGCCAAAACAGAATAAGGTAAAGTCGTCGTCGATGCACCGTAATGATCACAAATGAAATTGCACAAAATTTCGACACATATCGCACATGATAACTAATACAGTATCATCTCAAAAACTGCGTTATATTGTATTTTTCATCACACTTCCTAGTAAATACGAATAGTGTGATTGTATGATGGCTAACTTGACTCTCCCTCGGGCCTTTTGTCTTGCCATTACAGCCATGGTCGGTTAGCTTTTTTTTAATTTGTAGCAAGAGGTTGCTTAAGTTCAAAATCAAAACATTCGCTTAAATTAATTAGTGTATTATATAAAAAATAAAAAATTAATTTAATACATTCAGTCGTTACTTTGCGGAAGTCCATGTTAATAAAAATGGAAGTAAATTAATCGACTCTCGGCCGAAGAGATCTTCGGCTGAGCGTCGAGCAATCAACAGCCTCTGAGGATGCATCGTGGAGAGGCGAAAACGTGTCGAGTATATTTTTGGTGGTGGTTTATAACTGTAGTTGCGCTTGTATTATTTATTTTAGGCGGAGGAAGGGTGGGATAATTAACTGCATGAAAAAATATTCAACACAAGCGCAGCTATTTTGCACGATTTAACCTACACTGGGTTCGCGGAGTAGCATATTAATTTACTTTCATTTTTATCCGCCTAAAATGTTATCTAAACAGAAATTTAATTGCAATTCAGTGACATACTACTTAAATACTTATTATTAAGAATTTCTTATAATTGCTTTTAATTATTTTCTGTATAAAAAATTATGCAAATTTTTTTTACAATCCATCATGTCTGTATACATGCGTGTTTGCTTTTTACATCATTTTAGTTCGAGTTGTGTTATCTGTGGAAGTTAAAAAAAAAGTAAAAACCTGCCATTTGCAAAATCCATAATAATTGTTGTGTTGTGAACCATATATACAGGGTGTCCGGTAAAGAATGGATAAGCCTGAAATGCTTTATAGTAGAGCTTATGAACGTTCAAAAAAAATATAAAGAAAAATATATCCCATGTAGTACTACTTACTTGGTACTTGGTGCAGTATCCGCTGGTCGACGACAAGGTGCCTATTTTGCGCTAAGATATATTTTTTTTCTTTATATATAATTATTTTCACCTTATTTTATGTTTTGTACACCACGACTACAAGTTAATCAATTCCTTCGGGTTTTTGGTGTCATAATATTCTACATTAACTGTGCTAATAGATAGGCGGTAAATAGTATGACTAACTATGGCACTTAAATTTAAAAAAAGTTTTATTTTATTTTTCAGTGCAAAATTATTTATTTTCCACAAAGTTTAAGCATCTTTGATATAATAAAAATTATGATAACTTGAGTGGCCAACTATTCTAAAATAATGTGTGTTTAACTAAACACAGATTTCAAAATTAAAAATGAAAACATTTTGCTAGCCCACACTGACCCTCCTTATCTCATATAAAAGAAAAGACGAATGGTGCGGCGACCGCGCAGGTAACAAATAACTGTCACACGTGGTATATTCGCGGGTGGTACATTCATGGTATATTAACAAAATAAAAATTGTATTTATGTCTAATATTGTTTTTTTTTATTAAACCTCAATGGTGAAGCTAAATTCAGGACAAAAAATGGTGCAATTTTGAAAACTTAGTTTTTAGTCAAATTTACTCCTTTTGCACATTAATATCAATAATTTTCTATTTATATTAGATGCAATAATGAATTACACTATTTTGAAATCTACTTTAAACACACATTATTTTAGAATAGTTGGCCACTCAGGTTAACATAATTTTTTTTTTGTACCAAAGGTGCTTAAACTTTTTGAAAAAATAATTTTGCACTGAAAAATAAAATAAAACTTTTTTTTTAAATTTAAGTGCCATAGTTAGTCATACTATTTACTGCCTATCTATTAGCACAGTTAAAGTAGAATATTATGACACCAAAAACCGAAGGAGTTGATTAACTTATAGTCGTGGTGTACAAAAACGTAAAATACGGTGAAAATAATTAAATTTAAAGAAAAAATATATATATCATGAGATATATTTTTTTTAATGTTCATAAGCTCTACTATGAGGCATTTCAGGCTTATCCATTCTTTACTGTATATATTGTATTTATTTTCTCGCAAATGTGATGAAAAACAATGTACGTATCACGGACGACGGTAAAAAAATACAAAACTGGAGTTATTAAAGCCCTCAGCATTTGGCTTCGGGTTTCTAATAGACCCTCTTTAGTAATTTCTTATTTACCGTCTTATTTATACAATAATCTAATCCATATATCTATAATCGCCTCCAGTGCCACGGAACAAGATACGTCAATGTGTAGCTTGATGTGCTGTTGACTCTACTATTATCTCAAATATTGCATTATAATGTATGTCATTCGTATACGATTTAATTTCAAAGTGACAGGACATCACTGAATACCTTGCGTCATCGAGTATATTATAACCAGAAATAGACACGAAATGTCATTTAAATTGTTCGAAAACTATTCTGCCATATCATTACTGTGACAACTGCGCTCCGATTGGCCAGCCCGAATTCGAAACAATTGACGGGTGTCGTCAATTGTCACTTCAAATTGACCAGTTAACTTGAGCTTTGCTATAATGGGCGACAATTGCAAGATTACATATTTAATTACCAATGAAATTGATTCCGTTTGTAATTAGATGTTTTGCTGTTTTTCCCCACACCACCGATTGGAATCGCACGCTATTGTTAAAGATATCTTTATTACAATAAATACAGAATATTTTTGGAATATACGGAACGTACACACAGGACAATTGTTGGTCATGTCTAATATTTCAGTGCAAACGAGAGTAGATATTTATAAGTATTGTATCACTGTTGAGTTACAGGAATGTATGGCCCTTATTTCATCTCTATTTCTGGTTATATACTCGATGCCTTGCGTTGCTATGTGAATATAAAGATAATGCAATGGGAACGCGTCCTAATATGGTTCAAATTATTTATTAGCTAATATGAACTGTCTTACATGTTTAATTATGTTTAACACTACTAGGAAAACAATAAATAAACGTAAATAATCTGAAACAGGTTATTTCCTTGTATTTGTCCGAACGAAGTTGCTTCTTTACTGCTTACTAACAAAGATACCGTATCTCGCGGCCTGCAGCACGGCAACAGCCTGTCCTCAACAAGTTTCGTATACCAGGAGTCTCGGTTCAAGTCCCCGCTGAAGCCCTCCGCACCCGCGACTCCCGCCACCCCTGCGGCTCGCCCGGACCGCGGCGCCGAGCTCGTTCACAGCGTCAGTTTCTATCGACGCATGCAGGGCCAGGTGAGTCTTGCATACATTTGTTGCGTCGTACTGCTGGGCACGGTTCTTTAAGGCAAGAGACAATTGCCACTAGTTTCGCTAGTCCAGTATTTTTTCAGTGTTTTGTTTATTTAGTTTTATTTTTTAAATTGTGTATTATATTAATTAATATTAATGCAATTAATTAATTGTAATTTTTAAGATTATCCCATAGCCCGAAGGTTGCCAGAAAGAGATTGCTATCTATGAATGAGGCCTCCTTTTGTTTTTTGTTATGTATTTGTTCTAGTTATAAATTGCCCCTGCGGTGGTACAGTAGTGATTTACATTTGTAAAATTTATATAAAACGAGTTTTTTTTTATGGTAAGTAAGGTAAGTGACAGGTCGAACAAGTTGTGGGCCTAAGTGGTAAGCGGCACACTTGCCCACAGCACTTCAAGTGCCCCTCAGAGCTTTAAATCACAAAGATCTGAGGAGTACTGCGACTCAACCCTGAGACATAAGTTGACAAGATCCATGTGTTTGTAATTTCACCAGCACCCTTGCCCCACAAAACCGGAACGCAGTAATGTTCTATAACTTGTGTATAGCAAAGAATTGTTCTAATTTTAACAGACTCATCGATACCTCTAATAAATACAACGCCAACTTTATTTTTTGGTCACTTTCTCTTATTTTTGTAAACAGCCATATTTATATTGTCAAAAAAAAATCAAAATATTTTTATTCAGATAACAATCTGGATCCATTGGTGTTAGTAATAGTAAAATAAACTTATAAGCTATGGTTAGTAGGAATATTATATAACATATTACTTAATTAGTTCTAGTAGTAGTCTAAATTGTCTTGTACTGCCTCGTAAGGCATCTCGTGCGGAATCATTGTCCGTATGAGATGCCTCAGTATAGGCGCTCTATGGTCCTCTGCCACAACCTTCAGGATGCTGTCGTTACTCCCCCGGAGCCTTCTAAAACGATGCTACTTTTTCCGCAAGATTGCATGAAAGCAATTCGTATTCGTATATTCGTATTACTTTTGCGGAAAAAGGTAACGCAAAAAAAACAAAATTCGAAAAAGAAACAAAACTAATTTTATAAAATAAAGTTATAAAGAAACAAAAAACAAAATAAACAGAATAGGTCCAAAAATTAAGTTGGCGTAATGTTCATTGGAGATATCGTCATGATACATTATATAATAATAATATAACATAATGTTACAAATGTTCCCAGTCGTCAACACCTTCGACGCCGATGCGCGTGGTGCGCCACACGTCGCCCGAGCGCGACCCGCCGGCTGAGTCTGCCGCGAGTGTAACCACAGTACGACAGCGCATCAAGGAGCTTCAAAGTGAAATCGCCAAACAACAGACTGTTATATCACAGGTACCGTGTTCTTTCACTTCTCTTGTATGCGAACTAAGACTTATGAATTGCAAACAAAAGGATTCTTATTATTCAGAGACGATACTACCTCAGCTCGAATTCAAATTTTTCCCGTACTATTATAACGTTTCATTTTGCTAGGGTCGAGCGGCAGAGACGCTGGCTTTATTTCAGAATTTATTTTTTACAAACTAATTTAAAGACACTAGAAAAATGTATACATATCTTACGAGCCCTATACCCCACCGACGGGTTTCAGATTACGGGGTGTGCTTATGCTCTTCGTTGGCACAGTAATTAAGTACTACGGGCGCTTCATGAGGAGGTTCCAGATTCGATCCCTGATTTGTAGCAAAAAAATATTTTTAAATTGGTTCTGGTCAGGGTATTCTGGTTATTGCCCTCAGAATTATCGTTACTCTGCTATTAATCATAGTACAGGAAATTCCCTAGTTTGAGATCAGAAATTTGCAGTGATTGTCTGGCATTTTTTCCCTAAATATTTCTATTTTTGGCATAGCTTCCAAGAAAAAAGAATCTAACGGAGAGACGGTCGAGATACAACAACGCTATAAGTTAGTATCTTATTTCCACTACATCGAGATTTAAAAAACAATGTTATGATTATAATTTGTCTTTACTTAATTCTTATACGTAGACTAATTTGTTAATTTCCTTAACTACCTAGAATAACTGATGACGATGATATCCCTACAAAATGTATGGTAAAAAGTTTTTTGCGATTTCTGACATTTCGAGTTCTCTTACCACAGTTGGTCCCATAGAGACTATTGATCCTTACCATAGACCGGATCGAATGGCATAAAAAAGTTTTGTACAAATTGCCTTTTATCTTGCTGACTGTACAATTTTTTTAGGAATCTGTGAATGCTAATCAAAATATTTTCAAAATTCATGGATAGTCTTCTCGAACCGTTTTCCTGTAACTACAACGATTAAGGTAGCTGGCATTGCTGCCCCGTCTCAAATTTACACCTTGTATATATAATAGTAAACGTGTTCTGTTTAATTCAGTTAATATAAAAAAAATCATTGGTATATGTAAAGTACCTATTGAATACGGTTTTCTTGTAAAATTTCGAGTTAAGTTTGTGTTTTTTTTTATTGTATCGTGAAAATTTTTAGGAATCTTGTGTTCACACCATATAGTAATCAGTGTATATCCACAATTTCACTGTTATATTTTTTCCAAAATTATTTATTCGACACTCACTGTTATGCGGATCAACCAAAGCCATTTATATAGACATTTAAGAACTCTTATGTGCGCGCGCGCTCCCTATCGCCGCGGTCGAGCTTGTGATCCGGTAATTGCATCCCCACGCCTTCGCTATTGATGTAGACATGACTCTTTAAGCGTGATGTTCAGTCCACTGCAAAGCTTTTTCTTAGACCCTCTATACAACATAGTGGCTACCCACACTTCTTTGATTGTATTTAAAAAGTAATCTTATCTATTGACCTCAAGGTTATTGATGTCAAAATTCTTTAGGCTCAACTCACACTGGCGCAGATTCGAAGCGTCGCGACGCGTCATGTTTTTAGCCTATAATATGTTCATCTGTATTTTCCCATTACTTAGGTACAAATTTGTATTATGCAAATATTGAAACGCGCGTCGACACCCGTTTCGGGCGCACTAATGCGAACGTCGTCGCGCGACGCCAAGTGTTGTACAGGACGCGACGCGACACTTCAACTCTGCGGCAGTGTAGTTGAGCCTTAGATTTCACTAGCAACGAACATTTTAATGTTGAAATGTAGGCGCCAGATGAGGAGGCCCCCGGTTCGAAACTCAGTAGAATCCATACAGGAAACGAACTTTTCGAAATTGTATCCGGGCTGGGTGTTCAGAGTAGCGCCGCTAAGTTGATTTCGTTGCTCTGCTACGAGTGGCACAAGGAATTCCCTAGTTTGGGACCAAATCATTTATGTGGTTGTCTGGTACATTATTATTTGTCAGACTATGTGTGAATGACATCATCATATTAATTGCGTCACTCATATTGCCCTTCTTGTCTTAACTA